CTCGAGTTGCAACCAGAGTCACGGAACAGATTAAGTTCGTAACTAGAGGTACCACTGTATACTGAATATCACTAAATAACAAACATTATATAAATATCTTAAAATATTATTACATTGAATATTTTGTGTGTTAATATATAGACTATCTTTTAAAATTAGAAGTTTTGGATATTAACTTAAATTTAGGTACATTATACTCTATGTTCCCTGAACAGATTCTTTCAATTGAAGGTCGCTATGGAACTCTGCAGGCATATGTAACTCCAAGAGTTCAACCCAAAACCTGTCAAGTTCGGCAGTATCAGATTAAGCCTCTTTCACTTCATCAGAGGACACACTGTCTTGACCGTGATAGGTATTTTTTTTAGAGTTGTGGCACATTTAATCTAAACTGCAAGTTAATGTTGAATAAAGGTGTTGAAGTGATAAAGACTTTTAAAAGATGTCATGATTTCAAATCTTTACTTAAAAAGAAACTTTATTGATTCTAATTTAACTTATTCTGATGAATGTGCTTAGCCTCCAAATGTGAAAGTATCAAGGCACTATTATCTGAATCTCACTGTGGCACTGAAAGCAATTTTCTGAGATGATAACTTGAATGACTTCTTACACCTGTGTCCTCCTGAGTGAAGCAATCTTTGTTTTAATGATTTTATTAGAACTTTAAATGCATATATTTATTTTGTTGTTATACAGACCCATGAATACGTTGACCCTCAAAGGACAGTTTAGTTTTGCTGAAGTTCATTCCTGGATTGTATTTTGTTTGCCTGAAGTTCCTGAAAAGACACCAGTGGGGGAGAGTGTCAGCTTCTACTTTCAGAACACTTTTTTGGATACACAGCTTGAATGTACATACCGGTAAAATGAAACACAATCATTGAAACATACTGGGTTTTTTTTTTTAATTAATAAATAAAATGCTATTTTATGAGTTCTCAGGATCGATCAGACAAAATACAGATTACAGGGGCCTCTTGTGAACCATATTAACTTTTTTTAACATAACAGATAGAAAGATATTTTGTTTGAAAGATTGACTTTTCCAGTCAGATAATCAAGCAAGAGGAATTCAACTAATGACTATAAAGAGACCTATAGATCTCCCCCTTTGCCTGCCTCTGGTGTCTGAAAGAGAATGGAATATAGCCAGTTTCCATATACCCTAACTACCATTCCAAGATTAACCATCTCCCTGCTGGCAATAGTAACCCCTCTGCTAAAAGAAGAGAGGCCTACCCTAAAATGTAGCTGCTGTTAAATTTCCTAAAGAATTAATCAAGATCTCACTTAAAACTTAGCTGGTCACTTATCCTGACTAGCAAAACCTCAGTCTCCTTTTTTTTCCCCCAGGGGATATCTATGCATGGTACACAGATCTAATGTTGTGTCATCCTCCTTGCATTAGCAACCCCATTCTGATCCCTCTTAAGTGGTCTTGAGTCACCTTGAAACCTATATCTCTTCAACAGCCTGAAATTGCCTAATTATAACTTCGTGTGCTAACCTTCTTTCTCTTTCTTTCGCACTCCAACTTTTTTTTAAAAACAAACTTCCAGCTACTTTCTTAGCCCATTTCAAATCCTCCCCCCCAATGCCATGCTGTCTATGGGAAAATAGTTTGTCTCACCTTTTCCCAGACTCAGGCTATCACCCTCCGGTACAGTGTGTATATGTTTGAAGTCATGTAAAAGGATGGCAGATGGTGTTTACCTTTTCCATTGTCTCACATACTGTCCCTTTTTTAGTGAAGGTTGTGATGTGGTCCCCAAGCCTTCCACTGAACTCACTGATACCTCTTTGGCAGTAGCAATCTCTGGATCAATTCCATAACTAGACAGAAAATCAGCAACTTGATCCTGTTTCCCTGACTGCTGTTGAATTGACAAATTTGTATGACTGTAGTGTAAGATCACCTGTTAGTGTCTTTAATCTTTTCCAATTCAACTAATGATTGGTGATCTGTGACCTCAGTGAGTTTATGACCTATAGGTAAACTCTGAGACTTCACTGACCACTTCATAGCATAAATTTCTCTGGTGCTGCACACTTTTTAAGCTTTTTGAAAATAAAGAACTGGATGCTACTCATGCTCAAATTTTTGACTGCCCCCACTCTTCAACATATATAACAAATGGAAGACTAAAATCCATCCTCTTAACTCAGAGTAACTACACACAATAGTCCAAGGATTTTTGGTATTCACTCTTTTTGGTTAAATCTGAGAATTTTTGTTTTTGTGGAAAATGAAGATAAACTATCTTTAGTGACAGAATCTCATTAGGTATGCTTATACTACTGAACAGTTCAATTAGTTCATTTGCCATTACTTTTGAGGTTACTATACACAATAACAATTGTCTTGGTGTATCTAGGGGCATAATCACATATACAAATTACAGCTTAGTATAGAAAGGATAATGTTGAATATCAACAAAACTAAAAAAATCTGCAGCTTTCCCCTTTTATTTAACTGAGAATGGTTTCTCTCTGGAGTTCTTCCTTTATACACCTCAGTCCTAAACAGATGAAATAAAAATTGATGTTTAATAGAACTTGTTTGAAAAGTTTTTAAGGTTAGAATGTTTTGAAATTTATCTAAAACTTCCCAATTGGGAAATGTTTAAATTAAGGACCAAACTACTTAATTAATGTTAGTTAACTCATAAAAATAATGTTAAAGTATTAGTTGTACTGTTTTGAATTACAATAGTTCTCCAGGTATATTTCTTTTAAGTGAATGTTATGTTGTTTATTTAGGAAAGGTGAGGGTTACTTCAAATCTGACAATATATCCACAATATCCATTCTAAAGGATGTACTCTCCAAAGAAGCCACTAAAAGGAAAATTAACCTCAATATATCATGTGGTAAGGATTTTTGTCTTTCATTTTATGATCTCATTCTGTATATAAAATGTATAACTATTGAGTTACTTTCTTGTTGTGGTCTTCTTTTAGATATAAATGAAGCATCTGTGACTCATACCTTAAAGCTTATCCATCCAAAATTAGAGTACCAGCTGATGTTGGCTAAAAAAGTTGAACTAATAGATGCTTTAAAAGTAAGTCTTTAATAGATTAATTGATAGCTTTGCTTGTTGCTTGTGTAATTTTTTTGTTGTATATTTATTTCTTAATTGTTTTCAAAACTATAGTATCTGCCTGTTTAATAGATTGATATGCCATCCAATGGCTTTGGGCAACTTTTAAAAGTATAATCAGATAATTAACTAAACATTGTTGTTGATAAGATAGTTTGATCCATCCCTAAACTATAATACTAAATGGGGCTGTTCAGTTCCAGCAGCAGTTTGTTTCATGATAGATATTCTACTGGGGAAAAACCATTAATATGCAACTAATCATGATATTTGAAAATTCAAAATAATTAGAGTTCAGTAATGGAGTGATCATGATTAAGTGATAGAATGTGTGCTTTTGCATACAGAAAGTTCCAGGTAGTCCTTGGTAATTAAAATTATCAATAGAAGAGAATATATGTAGCTCAGGGTTGAACTGTGGAGTCCTTGAGGTTCTCTGAGCTTGGTTGTTTTCTTGCAGACATTTCATTGCCTGGCTAGGTAACATCTTCAGTGCTAGAAGGGAGTGGGGTTGCTCTCTGTTTATATACAGTAGCTTGCCTGTCAGTGTTGGTGGGGGTGTGGTTTTCTGGTTGGTAGTCCTTGATTAGGCTGTTGTTTACTGCTTGCTTGTCTGTCTGAGTTGGTAGTTCCTTGATTAGGGTATTGTTTACTGCTTGTTTGTCTGGTGTTAATCATGGTGTTAATCTCAGTTTATCTGTGTGTTGATTGCTGGCGAACAGGTGTTCTGGTCATTTTAATACCTTTTTATTGTCTCTTTTGAATAGTGTGTAGATGTTGTTTATCTCTATATGCCTGTTGATGGCAGACTTATCTGAATACCAATCTTCCAGGAATTCCCTTGCGGTTTTAGATTTAGCTTGGTCTAAGATGCTGACAGTTTCCCAGTTGAAACTATGGTTAAGTCTGTCCATGTGTTGTGAGACCAAGCTAAATCCAAAAGTATTTGTAATTGGTTTGATTATAAGTATATTATAATATTTTAATCCATTTATGTCTTTCTTGTGATATTTATTAACTATATTTTTTGTTTCTATTTGTTTACTTGCAATTTGGTAATCTGCTGAGAATACTTTGGCTACTGAGTAGATTAGAAGAATCTTAAACAGATAAATATCCTAGAATGCTGCATTTGTAATGCAAGCCTTGCAAAATATAGTCTATATATTAAACAAAAGTTTGCATGAAATCAAATCTATATGTGAATCAAACACCTTGGCAAGCAATAAGATGTTGTTTTAATTTAGATAGCTGAAAAAGCAAAGCTTTTTCAAACATATATTTTCCTGGGATTATGCTGCAGCTATAAGGGGCAGATAAGAGATACTGGTTGCAGCTGCTTTAAGGAGTTGCTAACAGGTATTATATGAGTGCCCTCAAACGCTGCAAAGGTGTTCACCCTTTCCTGTTGAATCTGAAGCACTGTACAACAGTAGCATAATGTTAAATAACAACTTGAATATGGTTCTTTTGAGTTTTGACCTTTTTTAAAAAAAAAAAATAGGGGAACCTTCAGGCTGTAGTCTCAGTAGAAAATTGGGGAACCTTCAGGTTGTAGTCTTAGTAGAGAATTGTGAATGGATTAAACAGTCCATTTATCTGGATTCGTAACTGAATTCGTATGCGTTTAATCTTCCAACTATTCAGTATTTTAGTTGAACTTCTTTAATTGTCTTAACATTTTATTATTATCTGATTAAGGAATTGCAGGCTCATGAAGGTAACATGGATTTCCTGATTCCAGAATACCGCAGTATTTTGGAAGAAGCAGATCAGCTGCTCAAAGAACACAAGAAACAGCCAACATCTCTTGAAAGACTTTACGGTTGGTTCATTAACAATTTTTTTCTATTTTTTTCTAGTATTACTTCTTGTTCTAACAGTGATGGCTTCTGGGATGGCAATTCTGCCATTCTTATTAAATATTTCTTTTGTTTCCTTTTAATGACAGAGATTTTAGCTTCTAGAATGAAAAACACAAATGAAGATGATTTGTCATAATGGCAAAGATGGAGATTGATCAGTGGTGGATATTAAGTGCTGCATATGTAATAGAAAGATTGTATATAAAATATAGTAAAAATATTCCAGACCCTAGAGATCACTGTTTGTTTCTATGCTTGGAACAAGTCTCCCCAGTGTCCTTGGACATATGAAATACTACAAATAGAAAATACATGTGTAATGATTTAGTGGTATATTAGAAATAAACTGAAATAAATATACATGAAAAAAGGGACTGCAGTAAAAACAAAAACAAAAAACTTGAAAATATTGGGTAGAATGAACAATATGATGAAGAAAAAAAACCCTACCACTGATTTTTTTCGTTCTGTATTCTTCTATTTGTTAAGATTTCTGATCTACAGCTGTATTTCACTTTACAATTCATAAAATTAATACCTCCCATGGATTAAGTTCTTTACTAAACATTTGCAGTGGTACATGAAATTGTTGTTTTCTGATTTTGATTAATTAATATTTTGTATATTTTATTTTTCAGGTATGATTACTGATTTATTCATAGACAAATTTAAATTCAAGGGTACAAATGTGAAAACCAAAGTTCCTCTACTCCTGGAAATTTTGGGAAGTTATGATCAAAATACATTGCTTGCATTTTTTGATACTGCTACCTGAACTACAGGAACTGAAAAAGCAATGAAATCTCTTTAAAGAGAAGATACCAAGATGTAGACAAAGAAAACTGGTGTTTCATTTACATAGTTTTAAAAATATATCACAGTGCTTTTACTTCTATTGAATTGTAAATATTTGTGAGAATCTTGTTCTTTTTATTAGTCACTGTTTTCAAAAATTGGTTATGACAATTTTCAGAAACCTTGAGGAGCCCATTGCATATTTGTTAACATTAGGATTCCTTCTTTTGAGTGAATGGAGTAACACATAGAGTGGCTGTTCCACCCCCATGTCAAAACAAAAAATTGGATTAACTCTGAATTACTTTCCATGGTTGGGAATGAAGAGTATAGAAATCAGGTAGGTTAAGAAAAGATTGGATGTGATGGAAGACAGGAGTCCTTTGGGGAAGGAAGCCTGGTGATGGTTGTAAGTGCAGAGATGATTGAGATGGTGAATAGAGTTGGAAAGGAGAATGTGAAGGTGGACAAAAAGAAGTAAGGAAGAATATGGAAAGGAAATTGAGTGAAGGAGCACATTAGACACAAGAAGAAGAATGATAAAGTGGTGGTATGCAGCATGGTTGGCGAGATTGAGAGTATCTGGAGAAGTATACAGATGAAAAAAATTCAAATGGACAATTTTTGTATGAGACTGGAGGAAGTTGATGGAGATGGTAGAGAAAGTATACATTGAACAAGTAGTATAAGAGAATCAGTGGAAAGCAGTGATTTTCTGCCTCACCATCATTCTTGGGAAAGGAAGCCAACATTAATGGAGAGAGAGTTTAATTAATGACCATATTTCAGAGCTGCTGCTGCCACCACTTCCAACAATTTGCTGTTAAATACCAAGGCTCTTGGAAGGGATTTTGGTGAGAGATTATAGAATCTGGCATATGTGATCACTGCTGATAGACCCTTAGTTGTTCCCTCCAGGAACATATTCAAGAAAGGGGGTTAGTGAGGAAAAATAGAAGACTTCTTGCTCTTCAGCCAGAAGATGGAGAATTGGGAGGGAAATAGCCTAACCCCATCCTGGAGTAAGAATGGCCTTTGTGAAATGAAAGACGGAAAGATTGAGATTCTTGGGCTGTTGGGAGGTGTGCTAGATGAACTGTAGTTGAGTGCTAGGGATATTTTATTCCATTTTGTTGGCTAGCAGAGCTGCATGAGCTGGATTGCCTATACCAATTTAAGGCAATGGGGAAAGTAGGCACTATAGCTCAGGGCTTGGCAAATGGAGATCAGACCATGTCATTTAGCTGGGAGGGTGGGAAGCATATTTTAACAGTGACCAGAAGAGGAAGATATGAGGGTAGGTGCTGGGCTGGATGTTGCAGGAAAAGCATAATGGGCAATTTGGTGCCAGTCCCTTCTTCTAGCCCAGTAGTTTCTTTCCAAGATTCCATACCCACTGGACACTGTGGCCTCATGCTGTTGCTAAGGTTAATAAGATTGTGTTCTTCCATCATTTGATGCTGGGGTCATAGGCAACTCAAGAGTTCTTCCATTCTAATCATGAGTTTGTCTTAACTCATATCTGGCTTCATCCATGTAAGTGAGCACATAATCTAGTTTTCATCTTGAAGCAGCTGGAGCATGATCTGAAGGTGGAAGAGATAGTTATTTGTCCTTTGTCATTGTCAGATGATTTCCTGGTCAGCTTGAGGTTAGTCACTGCAGTTAGCTTCAGTATGGGTGAGGATGGATTAAGAGATCCACCCCAGATACTTGATGGTGATTGGGGGGTTTCTAATGGGCAATTATTCTACAACCCTGGTTAGTTTCTGTAATAGGGAGGCTGCTAGGGCGGAATAGGATTATAGCCTTGCAGCCTGTTCCTGACCATTGGCCCTAGAGGGGCTACACTCTCCCAAAAGGAGTACATTGCAACTTGGGGAAGCTCCTAGATTTGCAGCTTAACCAGCAGGTAGGAGCTGTGGCTAGGGATAGTTTGCCCAGCTTTAGCTGGTTTACCATTTCTGTTCTGTTTGGGAACAAGAAGCTGTAGCAATAGTTACTCATCCTCATTATTACTGCAATGGATTGCTGCAATGCATTGCTGCAATGCATTCTACCCAGGCTGCCTTTGAGTACCCAGAATCTGCAACTGATACAAAAGTAGCAGCCTGCATATTTCCATCTGAAAGAACAATTCAAAATAGATAGAAAAAATTATAAATTTACAAAAGAATTATCATGGTGGGACACTCAAGTTAATATAAATAGCGATCATATGATAGCCAAAATATATAAAATTTTATTACAAGTTAAAAGGGAAGTTTAAAATAAAGATTGTATGACAAAATGGGAGAAAATTTTTGGCTATAATATGACTTATGGGAAAAAATGTGGACCAAAGGGTTAAAATTTACATTAAATTATAATTTGAAAGAAAATTTTTATAAAATGATGTACCGGTGGTACATAACCCCTGATAAATTAAATAAAATGTATAACATAATAGCGAATGTATGTTGGAAGTGTAAAAAGGAAATTGGTACTTTATACCATATGTGGTGGACGTGTCCAAAAGTCAAAAAATATTGGGGTCAATACATAAAAATATTTGCAAAATATTATCAATGGAAATTATTAAGAAACCTGAACTGTACC